TTATGATACAAATGATGTTACACAATTTTTTTTGGGATAAGACAAAAGGAACTATTATCGAATGTGCTGCAGTTGAGTCTCTTTATTTTTGCAAAGAATATATTAAAAATGAAAACACTTTAAGAGACGATATAAAAGAACTAGCTGAGCTAGTTATTGCTTATTTGTTTCCTGGTGGTGTAAAAATTAGAAAACCAGGAACTGTCCACCATGCAAGGTTCCTTGGCAAAGCCATTTATTATCTAAAATTGCAATTGCTTTGTAATCAAATTAAATTTGTTCAAGAAGATAAACTACTTTTAGAAGAAATTAATATCATGGCGGAATTCATAGCATGCTTTTATGCAAAATGGTATTTGCAATCTGACAAAGCTATCAAAGCACCATATCTAGATATTTTATCAATACACAAAATGCATCTATACAAAGATGTTTGTGCAAAACCAGACGCAATTGAAGCAGTATGGAAATCATTTTGCAAACATTCCTGGTATCTAGATTCTACAATTGTACCTCTTTCTTTGTTGGATAAAGACGTTTCTAATGAAGAAAAAAGTAAGTTGCTTCAGCTATGCTTCAATATGACATGCCGAACTCTGATTATTTTAAAATCAACAACAAATCGCTCATTGACGTGGAAAACAAGATTAAGGTTGAAACGAGAGTTTACAATGATCCCCCAAGTTTACCATTATTAGTTGATCAGTTCTCCTACTTGATGTTTGATAGAATTGGGTTGGATAAACAAAGGATTAGAGATTGGCTTACCCTCCTGCCTCAGTATTGGTATACACAATCAAGCTTTAGAATCTTCAAAGCTTTTGCTAAATCTCTAGTTGTTGTAAATGATCCGGCTGAAAGAGCAGTAGGAATGATGCAACAATTTGTGCACAGATACAATGAAGAAGAAGAAATTCAGAACAGACTGCTTACTGTTGATAAAACTAGATTGGCTACAAAAAAGCCTGGGGGAAAATCTTCAAACTTGTCTAAAAAGAGGTTGATCGACTCACTTTCTATAATGGAAAAAATGAATGAAAAATAAAAATTGACAACCAAATTTTTTAAACAAACTTTATTATTGTTTTAAATAAATATTAATTAATTAAAGATTTATAACACACTTTTAGTTGTATTATTTGATTATACCTATTCGCGGCAAAATAATTCTTTTTTTTACGCTTTTTTAACACTTTTTAACACAGTAAACAGAAAAAATAGTCATAATCTGCCTTAACTACCCTTTTTATTTGAAAATATAGATCAATACCTGTATTATGAAAAAAAAATCATATATATATATATATATATATATATATATATATATATATATATATATATATATATATATATATATATATATATATATATATATAAGCAGAAATGATGGAGTGGTTAGAGTTCTGGCTTAGAACCAAGAGGTACAAGGTTAGATACCAGATTAGGCCAGATAAGCAAGAGAGGTAAGAAAGGAGGTGTGAACTTCCTGGTTAAATGCTTATCTTAGGTGCTCTGTGACAAGACCGCTAGGTTATATTATAAAGCAGTGGGCTAGGTCTTATTTAAGCACCTTAATAATTTTTATAGGTGTACACTTGGACTTTTGGAAGGTCACCATTAGAGCGACTGAAAGCAACTAGATTGTTAATTTTGGTTGCCCACCAAATTTTTTAGTTGCGCTTTGCTATTTTTTTAATAAAATTATTCACATTCAGCTGATTTCTTGCATATTCTAGTCGTTTTTCATTATAGGGCTAAGCGTAGAATAGAAATAATTTGCTAAATAAAAGTAATATTGTAAACTTTTGTTAAAATTAAATTTTCTATTTTCAGATAAAGCACAAGACAATTTATACACCATTAGGTTTTTCTTATGAATTGAGCGCTTATCTCATCAAAAAAATATGCCCTCTTTTTTACATCAACAATTATTGACAAATATAAAAAACAATTTACAATTAAAACCCTTTAAAACCTTTTACTTTGTTATATTTATTTGCTTTTAATTTATTGTAAAATACTGCATTGTAGTTAAATTTAATTTTAAACATCGCTAAAAATTATTTAAAATAATTTAACAAAAATTATCAATTGAACTTAAACTCGGTATTTGGAAAAGATTATATTTCCTTACTTATTTCTTAAAACAATCTTAAACTTAACATAATTTTTGGTTTGTTTAACATAATTTATTTAACATATTTATTTTAACATATTTAATGTTATTTTAACAAAGATTATAAACAATTTATAGATAGATTTTATCAGTTACCAATACAACCCTCGGAATTAGGAAAATTGAGGTCAGCAATAATTTGCCGACCTCAATCTTTTTGAGGTCAGCATCAGGTCGGCAAAAATTATTTGACACAAAGGTCTGACCATAAAACATAGAAACGAGGTTGGCAATTTATGCCGACCTCAAACACTTTCAGGTTGGCAGTTAGGTCGGCATTGCCGAATGCCAACCCTAATTCTGAGGGTTGCCAATAAAATATTTTTAAACATAATTTATGTTCTTAAATGTATTAGGTCAAAGGAACTTTACACGGAACTTTACACTTTATTTAATCAATGCCGACTCTAATTCTGAGGGTTGCCAATAATATATTTTTAAACATAATTTATGTTCTTAAATCTATTAGGTCAAAGGAACTTTACACGAACCTTTACACTTTATTTAAACAATAAGAAACAAAAAAATCCATTTGAGAAAAAATTTTCTTAAACAAAAGCACTTCTCCTTTTTTATATTGAAAAAAAAAAAAAGATTTAAATTTCCTTTCGCTTTTAATAATCTATGATAATTATATTTATTATATTTATTATTATTATATATTATATTTTGCTTATTAGCTTATAATAATCTATGATAATATACAATGAAGAGACTTACATTTTACATAATGAATTAGTTAGTAGACAATTAAAAAAAACTTTAAAATTTTTAATCTATTTTACATTCTTTTGAAACTAAATTCTGCATTTAACGTTTTACTATTTTACATTCATTTGAAATAAATCAAAATTTTTAAAATCATATTTAATGTAAAGCCTATTGAAATTAAAAAAATATATATATAAAACAATTTATTTCTTTAAAAAATTCTTTTTTTATTAATTTGTTATTATGACCTAATATTTTCTCAATAAACAAACGATGTTAAAAGATAATTTAAACATTTCGAAAAAAAAAAGTTTTGGACTAACTGAATGCTTTTTAAGAAAATTTATTTCCATTACTTTATCTTTCGGGTGACTCAATTGCATCAAAGGAATATTTTAGAATATTTTTAAAACAAACATGTAATGCCAACCTTGTATTGAGGCATGTGATTGCACACTTAAACACAATTTAAAATAGATAAATACCGTTTCAGAACTTTGAAGTGTTATGAATTTTCTCATAAGTGCAAACACAGTTTGCTTTTCTTCTCCCATCCTGCATCTAACCATCCACAGGTTCGGATCTCTAATTATTAATAAAACAGTTTGTATTTATTACTTTTTATTGATCTGATTTTTTTTAATTATTATTTTTAATTTAAATTTTTTAATTAAATAAGTAAAGAAAAAAAATAAAAATAAACTCACTTAACATCAGGTAATAAGCTTTGTTGTTCTATTTCTGCAGGTGTTTCATATTCTTCATCAAGATATCTCTCTCTAAAACAGAAACTTTTTTTAGTACAAAGAACTACTTGTGAAAGTTTTACTCTAAAGTAAATATAATTTAAATATACTAAATGTATAATCTAAAGAAATATACACATGTCAATGTATGTTAAGATTTACAAAACTATGTATGTAGATATAGAAAAACATTTACAAGATAGACTTACTTGTCTGAGCCAGCATACTTCTTTTTGTAATACTCAGCAATGTCTTCAACAGTTTCATTTCTTAAATGAAATAAAACTTGATTTATTTTTAATAATATTTTTGTTTATTTATTCAAAATAAAACTATATAGATACTTATCTCAGGTAGGTAATATAATTATTATAATACCTATTGATATCTAATATAACTATATAGATATCAGGTAGGTAATATAATAACTGTATTCTTAATTATCAAAGAATATTTTGAAGTTTTTATTTTGAATTGAGTATTTAACAAATGAAAATTTTATTTTTCTGCCAGTCTTTATTAGTATATGAGATTTAAATATGTTTCAACAACCATTACATCCTGAATAAATTTACCACTTACAGATAAGTACTATTATTTAGAAGTACCATAAAATATATCTTATACATAAACTATAAACTTTTTCTTAAATCCTTAACTATTAACTTTTTTTTTGGCAAAAAAAAGTTAATAGTTAAGGATTGTTAAATTAATGTGCATACAATAGACTTAACTTTTTGACTTAATTTAGTGCATACTAAATTAAGTCAAAAAGTTTCCCTCTCTCTAATAGCTTTTACCCTTTTTACCCAATTCTATTGTGTTATTTGTTGAGGGTGAACAGTAGTAGAAGTTTATTGTTAGTTATTATAGCCAAGACAATTTAAATACAACAAAAACCTTAGCAAAAACCTCAACAAATGTTGAATGCCAAGGTTTATTCATATTGTTGTGTACAACCCTCAGAATTATGAAAAATGAGGTCGGCAATTTATTGTCGACCTCTAACAGTTGTATACTCTTAGAGGTTGTCAAAAAAAATTTGACACAAAGGAGTCACCATAAAAAATAGAAACAAGGACAACGATTTTTGGCAGACCTCAAAAACTTTAAGGTCTGCAGTTTTTAGACCCTAATTTCCAAGGTTGTGTACATATAGTAATTAATAATTAAGGATTAAAGTCTTAACAACCATAGCAACAACCAAGTACTTTAGAAGTGAAATGAAGTTGAGTAAACAGCCATGAAAAGGCTAAATTTTAGTTTTTTGAAATAGTTATAACATTGTCGAGTCTGTGTCTTGTATTTTTTTTACTCAGATTGTTCCAAGATGCAGGTTAGCAAGATGCAGGGATGCAGAATGATTTTTGTCAAGCAATGCTCTTGGTTAACAATGTGCAATTAATGTCACTTAACAACAATGTTATCAATTTCATTAAGTGACTTGGGATGTGACATTTTTTAAAAGTTGACACTTTAAATAAGCATTTTCTTGATTCTTACCAAAAAACTCAACAAAAAATAATATGGGGATAATCTTTATATATATATCTAAGTGGCGCGTTTTTAGACTCTCTCTAAGAACTTTATATCTTTAATTGTATGTGAGTTCCAACTTGAAACAGAGAATTGAAAATGAGGACATATGTACGTTATGCATAATTTTTTCCCTGATGCTATATTATGCAAAATTAAATGTCCTTTTAAGCATGTTAAGCATCTTGCTGGCCTTAGAGATAGCAGTGCATACCTGGGCGTTTTGTTTAAGGTCAATGCTAATTATAATACCTAAATCATGTTCTGATGAGTTCCATTCCAAATAAAGTTGAGTCAATTTATCAACGCTAAACATTGTATAGGTGTGCTTTTTATTCAGGCAACCAATGTGAAGAACTTTGAATTTAGATGTTTAGCCTCATACGCTATACTTTTATCCATTCAGTTATAGCATCAATATCATTTTGGAGCACAGTACAATCATTCTGATGATACTAAACTGCTTGCTCCAATTTGACTTTACCAAGTCAAATTGGAGCAAGTTTAGTATCATCGACAAATAATTTACAGATTAACTTATATATGACAGGTCATTTATAATGATCACAAAGAGTAGTGGTCCCAATACCAACCCATAAGGAACACAGATAGAAACCGACACCCAGTCCAATACTGCCAGTCAACACCCAGTCCAATACTGTCAGTCAACACCCAGTCCAATACTGTCAGTCAACACCCAGTCCAATACTTCACTCATGATTACTCTTAGTTTACGGCTGCTTAAAAAGGATTTCACCTATTCCAGAATTTTACTATTGATCTCGTACCCATCTATTTCAAGATTAGACTCATATGATGAACCTTGTCAAAAGTCTTGGGAAAGTCAAGGAAGAGAAAATCTACTGATCACCGATTAGCTGATACTTTTGTTAAATAGCCCATACTTTTAAGGTGGTTTGTAGAGCATGACTTACCAGAACAAAACCATACTGTTCTTGTGTGATCAAATTGCTGTCAACTAGGTGTGCTAGGATTGCTTGCCTAACTATATATTCCAGTAGTTTGCATATAACAGAGGTGAGGCTGATAGGTTGATAATAGCACGGGTCGGTGGTCAAGTCTTTTTTGAAAATAGAAGTAATATAAGCTATTTTCCATGCAGTAGGAACTTGATTAGTATTATTGCTAAAAAGCCAATTTTATTATTAGTTTTGCTGAACTTAAGACGCTTTCAAACTGTTTGTTGAGAATGTTTGCTTGTTGTTGTTTGTTGGTCATTATTAAACCAGAGCTATTTTGTAAGGTACTAATTCTAACTTTATCTATTGGTTTTGCTATTGATATACATAAACAGACATGATTTTTTTTATCATTAGCAAGGTCAAGTTAAAATTTATTTTGTGCTATTTTGCTAGTTTTCTTAAAATTATTTTTTACTTGGTTGTAGCGCATTTTTAAGTGATTAGATTTATTTACCATGTTTAGATACCATAATAATGATTTAGTCTAGATAATTGCATATCCAAAGTGCTGTCCATTTTTGGGTTAGATGAGGTCTTATGATTGAAATTGACTCAACACCCAGGTAATTATAAATAGAAAAGTAGGTATCGTAAGCATCATTTATATTTTTGTGGGGTAGTAGTGATGTCCAATTGATATATGATAGCCACCTTTTCTATAGTTTGAGTTAAAGCTGGGGAATCTATTTGCCCAATTAGTACAAAGACTATAACTCCAGAAAAGACATAAATGAGATTGCCAGGCTACACCCAGTGGGTCTTATATTTAAAAACCTAATAGGATTTTCGCTAATAATATAGTGGAGTATATTTTTGTGAGCCATCTAACTTCAAATGTAAAGAAAAAAACTTGTGTTAAGGTAAAAACCTGTTGGCTGACTTGTTGATGAAAAAATGTCTTGAGCTGTTATCTGGTTCAAGCACATTGAATGATCCATCTGGAGCCTATTTTATGTAAGGATAGTTAAATACCCAACTAGTAGGTCACAGGCCAACTACTAATAGGTCACAACTACTAGTAGGTTGTTTTGTTCGAAAACCATTTGCAGCCAATTAGATGTTGTTATTAGTTATAAAATCTATAAGGTTGTTGTTTTGGTGGTTAACAGAAGGAAGAGCCCTATAGATTGCACAAAATAAGAAAGAATTGTTGTTTATAGTGAGTAAAACCTAAAGTTGTTCAGATGCTACAAGTGACAGTCCGAGCACTATTACTATTATTACTATATTCTATATTTTATTACTATATTCTATATTGTCCATAAGTCAAATATAAAAGTTAAAAGATAAAAAATTTATGTGCAAAAATATTCTAATTTGGTAAAGAATGGCAAAAAAAACTCAAAAC